CGTGGGGAGGGAAGGCGAGGAGCGAGCTTGGGAGGGAGGGGTCCAAGGGAGGGAGGCAGCGTGTGAGCGGCAGGAGCCAGGCGGGGGAGGAGAAGGCGCGGCCGCACCACCAAGGAAGGGGGAGGTGAGGAGGGGGGGCTCGTCTCCTTTTCGCGAAGTGGGCGGGAGCAAGCAGCGCCCCAGCGCTGCTCTGCACCCATAGAACGGCGAAACTGGCCAGGGGCGCGCCCGCCTCTCGTGGGAGCTGGCGCCCGGGTGTCCAGCCTTGCACATGGCGCGCCCCTCCGAGTCCGGGCTCAGGGCCAATCACTGGCCAACGTGACCCTCCCTCTTGTGTTCGCTCACCCTCTTGTGTGGCCGTGTACGTGTGCATATGAACCTGAGTGACATGTAGAGTCACGGCACACTGCCGTGTGAACGGACACACGTACGGCAAGGGGCAAAGCTCTCCACCCGGTCAGGGTGGTTTGGTCCAGAATCTTTGTCCTACGCCTTCCCCCCTCTTCTCGGAAATGTCTTCGAGTCGCTGGAAGGTCCACAGGCTCGTGTCCTAGGGGGTCAGGGGGAAGCCCCAGGGGGACTTCGAGGAAGGCGCGCTTGCTTAGTGGCTTTAACCCAAACCAGATCTTGCTCCCTCCTCCCCTTTGTAGCCCATTCCCGCCCAGCCTGGTTTCCTGTCCAGCAGAGGGAGCAGGCCACTCTGTAAGACTCTGGCCACAGATACTGCACCCAGCGACTAGGAGAGGGCAGCATAGAGCTTCCGCCTGGGCTCGGTGGGCCCCCTTCTGTACCCTTACAAAGATCCAGGAAGTCCTGGGGTGCGGCCACGTACTCGGATAGGACCAAGGAATGGAACCTCTCCTCAGACATCCAGATCCTCCTTGACCAGCAGATACAGATAATTGGCTGGCAGGGGTGTCCTGGTAAATAGAGCATGCTTAGTGGGCTAAGACCCTTGGGACCTCACCTCCTTCCACTGTACATTCCCTTCCATCTCCTTGAAGCCAGCACTTTAACACTAAGCTAGTTTGATTAGGATAACTACTAATGCTGATACTCGCCCCTTCTCCACAGTTGGGAGTGCATTCCTTTATCACACTAGTGCTCCTGACACCTTGGGCCCACAGGAGTAGGGGTTATGACAGGCAGAGAAGCTGAGGCTGTGTGGAGGAGACTGACCCAAGGCCTCTGAGGCTTCAGACAGACCCGAGATCCTGTTCCCAATGCCTCTACCCAGCCCCTCCCATGGAGCATGCCTGACATTCATTGCAGATAACCTGGCTGGCACAGTGAGGCCACCAGTCTCACCCCCATCCCCAGCACAATCTTGCTTCTCCACTGTTCAGCCTCACACACGCAGCCCAAAGTGTTGCACAGACATTTTGTTCCAGCTGAACAGATTCTGCATACCTCTCAGTCTCACTGCCACACCACAGCTAGGGATAGTCTTGCCTGGAGAACCATCTCCTGTCTTCCATGTCTGTGTCCATCCTCATCCTAGGTTTGGCTGGAGCCCCCCTCCTAGCAGAAACCGATGCTGTGCTGCTGTGCCCTCTGCATTCACCCTCCAACAATCCCGGGAGGAGATGCTGTTCCCCTGCGACAGAGTCAAGGAATCCCAAGCTCAGAGAGATTACTGACTTGCCTGTGGTCACACAGCTCCTAATACGCCTGGAAAGAGAATTTGAATCACCTTCTGGGCTGAGAAAACCAGTAGGCGGCAGGCTTGGCTGAGGGAACTTATATGTGGGAGGGGAAGAGAACCTGTACAGAAGTCCTCCTCCCTTCAAGAGCCCAGCGAAGGCGGCTCCTGGCCCCTCAACTCTGCTGCCTGAACCCCAACACAGGCTCCTGGCTCCCCCTTCCAGGCTATTTGTGAGTTACCCATGTGCTCCCAACTCCCGCACCGCCTCCTCCCACCAGACCAGCAAGAATAGACACGCTCATGCACCAGGATGAAGGTCCCACTAGATGTGAGCGAGAGCAGACCTGCAGGGGCTGGCAGCAGGGAGGGAAGGCGACGGCGGGGGCTATTCCTGGTGTGGCGTCTAACTCTGGAACAGCACAGCCTTGGCCTGTCTCCACCCCCGACTCACCTGCTCCCTGCCTCATTATCTTGTCAGAGAAGTGGGAGCATGCCTAGTGTCCCCCAGCTAGCCCCCAGATGCTGCCTGAGGAAGTTGGCATCCCGGGGTAGGGTTCTCTGGGGCCCAAAATGACCCTTTCAGGGGCGACAGCAGAGCTGTGTCTGGGAGGAATTGCCCTACAGTCTTAGTTCTACATTGCTAACAGTATCCAAGCCATTTCCCTTCCCTGTTTCTTCAAAAGAAATGACCTGTACCAGCATCCCCGGTCTTATTTCACCAGTGGAAATAATGGGAAGGGGAAGGCTTTAGGGGGAAGAACTTGAAGAAAAGGCCTTTTTGAGGATCCAACCTGGGCTTGGTGAGAGTGCAGGTTCCTGACCTTGTCATCAGAGACCCCATAAAAGGGAGGCCTGTTACTGGGCTCTCACCCAGTCAGAGTCTCTACATGAGCTGCAGAACAGTCTGGAGAGCAGCCCCCAACCTGCCAGGGGTCCTAGGGCTATGGGGACATATGGGAGTGTCAGTGAAGACACAACCAGGGAAAAATACTCAGGCGCTACCATTGAAGGTTCACCCACACCTCCCAGCCTTTGTTCTCACTGGCCCACCTGTTTGGCATGCCCTCTCCTTGTCTCCACCTGTGCTTTGAGACCAAAACTAAGACTGTTCTATTCCTGTCTTCTCTCCCTGGACTGAAATGGCCTCAGAGACAAGGCTCCAGTCTCATCCCTCTCTGTCCTCAGACTAGAAGTTCCCAATGGTAGGCCCAAGACAACATATTATATGGATGGGCACAGAGCAGATCCTGGCTTGGGAGTGAAAACTCAACAACTCCCAGTCAATCAAGAGCTGATAGATGTGAGAAAGAGCCAGCCTGCTGCAGTCTGAGCCCTCACAGCAGAGCAGAGAAGCTGGAATGGGTTTGCCAGGAAACTCTGGAGAGAGGACAGGGCCCTCTAACATTTATTCCTCCCCTATAGTAAGCCAGGCTCTGAACTATACTTTATGTACTTCTCACTTCAAGACTGGTACTTCTATCCCCATTGTACAGATGAAAAAAACTGATGCTCCCAGGGGACTGTTGAGTTGCTCAAGTTCACTCTGTGTGCAAGACGGCCAGCTGGGTTTTGCCTCTGATGTCAGAGCCCAAGCCCTCTTCTCCCTGACTCTGGGGGAGCTGAGGATGCAAGATGAGGATGGGTCCCCCAAGAGCACAGGAAGGAATGGGTGGCACACAGGCCTGTCTGTATGCCTGCTCTGTGCTGGTCCTGCCTCTTGCATCCCAGCAGCTTGTGGGGTTTTATACTAATGATTATTTCTGAAGGCACTTGAAATTAATGACAGCTCTAAAATGGCTGGGGCAGTGGAGTCACTGTTGAGACCTCTAATTAGCAAGAAAAACAAAGACCAGGAGTCCAGAAGGTGGGTGGGGGTTGGGCAAACAGCATGGGACGGGGATGGAATAAGAATGGGGGAGTGGGTTGGAGCCAGCATACAGCTGGAAGTGCCCATGTCCCACTTTATGCTGTAAATTTGATTCTGACCTCTTATTGACTTGCTATGTGACCAGGAGAGGGTCATTGCCCATCCTGGAGAAAGTTCTCCCAGTATGCAGTGAGGTGTTGGCTTGGGGGTCTCTAAGCACAGGTCTCTGTGGCCCTGTCTACACACTAGGGAGAGTGAGATGAGGCCTCCCACAGGGGCTCCTTGAATGACATCTGTGGCTTCAGCCTCTTAGGGACTCAGGGTCATTCCTGGAATCCTGGTCTTTGTTTTTCTTGCTAATAAGAGGTCTCAGCAGACTCCATTGCCCCAGCCATTTTAGAGAGGTGCCCAAGGACACAAAGGACAGCCCCCTCTTCCAGAAGCCTGTTCTAAGCACCAAAGTCTCCTGCTCTGAGCTGGTCTTTGTGTCCTTGGGCACCTCTCCAAGTCTTGGTTTCCTCCTCAGTAAGATGGGAATATCGGTAAAACCCATTCACAGGGTTAGTGTTAGGATCTCATTACTTAATATATATCCAGTACTTGATGCTGGGCCTGGCACATAGTAGGTTCTTGATAAATGCAGGTATTTTCGTGGTTATTATACTTACTGTTATGCTTGCTGTCTGCCCCTGAGCCTGTAGGCCCTCCTTATCCCACTTCTAGGAATATATCTCAAGAAACTAGAAACACCAATTAGAAAGGATATATACACCCCTATGTTCATAGCAGCACAATTCACCATAGCTAAGATTTGGAAACAGCCTAAGTAGATGAGTGGATTAAAAAACTGTGGTACATCTATACAATGAAATACTACACTGTGGTAAAAAAGAAGGAGTTCTTACCATTTGCAACAGCATGGATGGAACTGGAAAGCATTATGCTAAGTGAAATAAGCCAGTCAGAGAAAGATAAATATCACATGATCCCAGCATCCTTGCATCCCAGCAGCTTGTGGGGTTTTATACTTTTATGGAATATAATGAACAACATAAACTGATGAACAAAAACAGATCCAGAGACAGAGAAGCATCGATCAGACCGTCAAACCTCAGAGGGAAGGCAGGCGAGGGTGGGGATAAGGGGGAGAGATCAACCAAAGGACTTATATGCAAACATACAGGCCTAACCAATGCACACAGACAACAGGGGGGGTGAGGGTATGAATGGGGGGGAGATGGGGGTAATGTGGGGATAAGGACACATATGTAATAACTTAATCAATAAAAAATTAAAAATAAATAAATAAAGGTCCTGGCAGCATTCCCACTAGGAAAGGCCTTGACCGAGTTCTTCGTCCTTTGAGGATCAGGAACACCAGGAAGGCAGGGACTAATCTTGTGTTGCCTCCAGTTTCCACAGACAGCCCAGAGTCCTGATTCCAGAGGGTGTGA